TTCCTGCTCCGAAAGACATAGGCCCTTATCGGAACATTGTTATACACACGGGAATCAATGATATTCGGGATGATTCCAACAGACCATCTACTAGAACACTTATTGCTAAGCTTAAGAAGAAATGTAGTGAAATTCAGCAATTTTATCCTAATAGTAAAGTTCATATTAGTCTACTCTTGCCCACCAAATCACAGTTTGTTAACTCACGTATAGGGGAGTTAAACAGTTTAATTGTCGACATGGTTTATAATAGGAAAAACATGTTTATTATAGATAACTCTGTACTAGGTTCTGTTAACGGATGCATGCCTTCTAAGTATGGTCGATTCTCACGTGATGGCACACCATTGGTCAATGATGTTGTACATCTCGGAAGAGAAGGCCTGAAAATATTTTGCATGAGTATAAAACGATGTATTGTACAACGTGGTGGAAGTCAGTCCACGGAAAGATTTAAAGGTGGAAATGGTGACTATAGGAGTGCCCTAAGTAGGGGTAGTAGGAGTGATATCTTACCGATATGACCTCAATAAACTTTAATATTACAAGAGAGAGATGTCCAGGTTGTGATAGCAATGTACTAAGCCATCATAAAGTCATAATATGTGAGTGTTGCGATACAATATATCATGCCAAATGTTCTGAACAGAGCTTTAAATTTGACCATGTTAAACAAATGTGGCACTGCAGTCAATGTTTCGCCTTCAAATCCCAAAGGTACAATCCTTTCAACTCAATTATTTATGACAAATATGATCCCAACACTGTAGAAAGAGACGAAGATATGGAGACTATTTCAAACATTCTAAAAGACTGTAGGTCTTATAACATGACAAATTTCAACCGGCTGTCAAAAAACATACTTAACCATAACAAGCCGTTTATATCTATTGTGTTTAACAACATTGATGGGAACGCATCTAACTTTGACAGCTTTATTACTGATATGAGTCAATATGATGAGAAATTTGCAGTTATTGCGCTAGCTGAAACAAACATTGATGAGGAAAATAAAGATTTATACAAAATTGATGGTTACAGCAGTGAGTATAACTCCAAAACTGATGGGAAAAAGAAAGGTAGTGGCCTTGGTGTATATATTGACAATAAGTACCAATACAGCCGAATCGAAAAGTTATGTAAATGCTCTGACAATCTTGAAACACTTTTTGTTGAGATCACTAACACAGAGGTTCCACAGATTGCTGGTGTTGTCTACAGGCCCCCTAGTGGTGATATTCTAGATGCACTTGCTGAGCTTGACGTGTTGATGAAATTCCTACCGTCTAATAATGTAGCCTTGACAGGTGACTTCAATGTTGATCTTTTGGCCCAGGGACGAAACATAGCTGAATTTGAACAAACTATCTACAGTAACAATTTAATCCCTTTGATATCGATTGCCACCCATGCCAAGCCGGGTTGCAACGAAAGCTTAATTGATAATATTTTAGTGAACTCTACTGAGCGTGTCTTAGGATCTGGAATTCTTGAATCCAAGATTTCCCATCATAACCCAATCTTCTGTTTCATATCGTGTAATACTAAAGAGAGTCCAAATGATACCAAACTTAAACCTAAGTATGATTACTGTGAGTCTAATATAGAAAGCTTCCTTAATGATATTGGAAGGGATATCTACCGATCGAACTTTTCGTATGATGAGGAAGGTTTTGAAAAATTTGTCGAAACTGTCCATGAAAAAATCGAACTGAATTTCAAATTGGACTCTACTGCTGGTTTTCAATCAAAACGCAATAGATTGATGAATCCATGGATCACTTCTGCGTTAATTAAATCTGTGTTTACTAAAGGCTTTCACTACAAGCGATGGAAGGCTTCGTGTACCAAAATCAACCCATTAGGTGAGGAAACTTTATATCTTAAGTATAAGGAGTATCGTTCTATCCTAAACAAAGCTATAAAATCTGCGAAAAAAGCCCACTATGGAAAAAAATTTGAACTTGCTAAAGGAAATATTAAAAAAACCTGGGAATTGATTAACGAACTCAGGGGTAAATCTAAAAAAGATATAAAAGCATCATTCTTAATTGATGGTCGAATTGTAACTGAACGCCGTGAGATTGCTAACGGATTTAACATCTACTTCTCGTCTATTGCTCGTAATCTTAATTCAAAAGTTCAATCTTCTGTACCATCTCGTACGGTAACTGATGGCAATTTTATTAAGACGAAGTTTAAACAATACCTCAAGGGCAGAGAAAGAATAGTGAACTCTTTTTTTCTCAGCCCCTGTGACGAGGAAGAGATAAGTAAAATCATTGGTAGCCTTGAAAATGGGAAGGCAAGTGATATCTCTGTTAAAGTCTTAAAAAAGAGTGTAAATTATCTGTCTGGTCATATCTCTAGATTCTTTAATTGGTTCTTGGACAATGGGGTCTTTCCAAACAAGCTTAAAACGGGCTCTATTACACCAATTTATAAAAAAGGAGACTCACGATGCCTTGATAACTATCGACCTGTTTCTACATTACCGATATTTGGAAAAATACTTGAAAAAATAATCTATAATAGGTTATATAATTACCTCAGTGCTATGAACGTGATTTATGATCGACAATTTGGTTTTAGAAAACAACACTCAACATCTCATGCCGTAAACTATTCTGTCAATAAAATACTTAATGAGATTGAACAGAAAAATCATGTAATTGGAATATTTATTGATCTAAGTAAAGCATTTGACACAATTGAGCACGATAAACTCCTGCATAAACTTGAACACTATGGAGTAAGAGGTATTGCACTAAAAACTCTTGCTAGCTATCTAAAAAACCGTAGCCAAGTAACTTCTTTTCAAACTGAAAAGTCGGACAAGTGTTCAGTTGAGTATGGTGTACCCCAGGGGTCAGTGTTAGGACCTCTACTATTTCTGATTTATATAAATGATATTGTGAGCTCCTCAAGCTTGGCTGAATTCGTCCTGTTTGCTGATGATACAAATATTTTCGTGATAGGTAGTTCAGCACAGGAAGCTTTTGAAAAAGCTAATCATGTAATGAAACAAGTCAGTAACTATATGGAGTCTAACAAGTTACATATAAATGCAGGGAAAAGTTGTTATATGCATTTTCAGCCAGGTTTGTCAAGAGCAACACAGACCTGTGCCAGAACACGGCCCTTTAACAGGAATCTAACGATTTTAATAGATGGCAAAAAGCTAGAAAAAGTTCAATGTACAAAGTTTCTTGGGGTGATAATAGACGAACAGCTAAGCTGGGAACCACATCTTAATCATTTATCTTTAAAGCTGAACTCCAGTATTGTATCGATTAAGAGAATTTGCAAATTCGTTCCCAAATCTGAATATTTGAAACTATACAATGCTCTTTTTATGTCACATCTTAGCTATTGTATAAGTTGCTGGGGTGGGATCCCTAAACATAAGCTGAATAAAATCTTTGCAATTCAAAAACGATGTATAAGACTGCTATTTGGTAACATTCCCAATTTTGATCATAAAGAATACTATTTAACCTGTGCACGTTCAAGAACTTATAACGAACATATGGCTAGCAAGAACTACTGTCTTGAACACACTAAACCGCTATTCACCGAGCAGAAAATTATGAACCTGGAGAATCTGCACATGTACCATACATTTATGGAATTATTCAAAATTCTTAAATTTGATGTCCCCCAGTCGATTAAAGATCTTTTCAAGTTCTGTCCTAGAAATGAAAAACTTCGTCTGATTGTCCCATTACTGAGGTTAGATATCTCCCAACAGAACTTTTTGTACACCTCTACGAAAATTTGGAATGACCTCAGCCCCTATGTATTCGAAACATGTGATGCTAATGTAGATGGGTTGATAATCCCGGGTTCTTCCAAGAATTCAGACTTATCAGCTTCGTCAGGTGTTATTAAATCTAACCTTAAAAAGCACTTGCTATCCCTCCAAAATCGAGATGACCCTAATACATGGTAACTAATCTATATTATATCTCAAACTCTACATCCGGTACGGCTATGCACACATGATATCTCTCTCTGCCATGAAACATGGCTAACCTTTTAAACTGTGATTCAAAACCTAAAGCTAAACTAAAACTCAACTGGGCTCTCCTTTGTCACCAAACTAAACCAATAAGTAATTTAAGATTATTATATTTTTCTATATTTGTATACTGTAATTAGTATATTGACGTAGTGGATGGTTGAGGGGGTTTCAAGCACAGGTCACTCTCAAATCCTAAAGATAAGCAGTGGCCTTCGGCACTTGAAACCTCTTCAAACCTCCCCTGATTTATTTATTATTGATATTGTTTGATTGTGCCGTAAAAATAAATATTTGTTTTATTAATATTTGTTTTATTAAAAATTCTTCCATCGAATAACGAAAAAGTCTTGCGCGTCGTAAGACAATTTATGTTCTACTTTGCGGAATTTTGCTTCAAATGTTTTGAGGTTGATTGGATATTTTTTGGCATTGTCAAGTCCATTTCTGCCTTCCGAGTCCAGCCTTTTAGAAGGATCCCTTAATTCATAAAGAATCTCATCGCGGCAAGATTCGTTATTATTGATAGATCTCCAGATGTCAACTCCGTCTATTGGTAACTGTGGTTTACTGTGCTTCTCTGGGTTGTCTCCCGCTAGTTTCTGAAATGTAGCATACCAATCAGTCACATGGTGTAAGTTGGTGTTGGTGTAACCAGACTTTTCAAGGAGTGGGCTGTGAACAAAGGATACTGCTCTGACGCCTCCTTCCAGATAAGATCTCTTACCTCCTCTCAGAGGATAGTTGCTTCCGAAATTATGTGCTCCATTGTCTGAAGTGAATAACAAAACAATGTTGTCCATCATTCCTTTTAGACGTAGAGTGTCAATTACTTTTCCTATCCCTTCATCCATTACAGATATCTGAGCTGCATACCTTTTTCTTTCTTTACTTTTAGAAATGTTACCAGGTATGTGTGAGGCAAATCTTTTTACATCTTCCTTAGAAGCTTGGCGGGGAACATGAGGTGCAGTGTATGCTAAATAAAGAAAGAAGGGGTTGCTTTGGTTGTGGTTTTGATGAGCTCAACTGACTTGTCAGTGAACAGATATGTGTTATACTGTCCCGTTAGATCATTCCGTACGTCGTCAACTAAATTACTATTCTCATCGTAATAGTTTTCCCTAAAGTCTGTCTTGCCCTTGAATGTACGTTTGAAATAATCCTGTTCACAGTTGTACAAACCAAACCAGGTATCGAAACCTCTCTTTGCAGGCGTGTGTTCCCAAGTATGCATACCGAGATGCCATTTTCCTACGCCGTGTGTTGAGTATCCGTTTGTTTTCAGCATCTCAGGGAGCAAGGTCTCATCCAATCCCAATCCAAACTCCTCCATTGGTTTGATATTTCCCTTCCAGAATCCTGTTCGGATTGGATACCGACCAGTCATAAGAGCAGATCGAGTAGGAGAGCAGCTAGCAGCTACGATGTGATTCTCCAGAATCACACTCTTGTTAGCAAGTCTATCAATATTTGGAGTCAGTGCAATAGATCCTCTGAATCCTACATCGTTGTATCCCAGGTCATCTGCTACTATTATTACTATATTGGGTTGTTTACAATCGACATGGTCTAGGAGGGTTACGAAGACAAGTGCTACCACCAAGAGTACGTCAGGCATGCCTGAAGTTTGTGATGATCAACCAACCATTCAACGAACTAAGGAGTAAATTATATCAGTGGGTTACGAAATTTGTTAAAATAATTAAACGATATTAGAACTTTAAAACAAAGTTAAATATGAACACCTCCAGAACCTCACAAAAGGTTGAAGATGGCTTGATTTGACATCTACACTATATTGGGTTGCTTAAAATCGATATGTTCTAGGAGGGTTGCGAACAAAACTGCTACCAATATCATCCAGTATACACCTGACATGGCCTGCAGATTGTTGCGGTCACGAAAAGCAAAGTCAAAGACAATTACACATACAAGCAGCGGAGACAAGCATGCTGTTAGATCGAGAAAAGAGCGCATCTAGCAAGCCCGGCAACCGGTAAGGTTTTCTGGGTAGAATATTGAAATAATTCAACATAGTGTGTACACTGTATAAATCATAAAAATCCTAATAGTGGTATCTTACTATTTAAACAGTATTAAACACTGTATTAATATACAAAGCAAGACGATATATATATAGCGAGACGAACTATTTATAGTGATCTACGTGGGAATTCGTGCTTTGGTGCGGCCAATGTTTACAGTAACAAGAATTGCGCCGGTTAGCGGACGCTAGATTTCCATCGACCGTAATTAATTACAATTAACGATCGTTTCATATTGGTTAAATTACCAAATTTCTTTGGGGCGTTACAGAGAACAAAATGGAGGGGTTGCCGTTGTCAATTATTTGAATCGAAAGTTAAACGACCGGACACCGTAGCGCAGCCTGTGCGGTGATATGCATGATGCAGTTAAAAAGACATCTGTCCGACAGCGACTCTTGTCCGACTCAATATGTTACCAGAAAAAAAAAGACATCTGTCCGAAATTGTGATCTAATTGCAATACGACACATTTCCATTTTCAAATTAGAGACATGATCTGAACTGAGATATGACCTGAGCTGAACTCTACCATAGTTTATTTTCATTTTATGTCAAAAATTGGACAATATTTGACATAAAACTGTGTGTAATGTAGGCTGTGATGTGATTGGCAGCTTGTTACAGCTTGTTAGTGTACGGCTAGCATGATCCTGTCCTCAAATAGTCAATCACGTATCGATGGATCAGATCTCAATGGATCAAATTAGCATTATATTAGTCGACTGTGGAAGCAACGTCACAATAAGATTACACGTGAGCTTGTGAAATACAAACGTGATCCGAAATTACAAATGTGATCCGAAAGTTGGACAGATGTCGCCAAAAACGACTCCTAATCAAAATGTATAATAGCGAAGAGAGATATACATGCGCGGCGTACACGATTTATTAGCTCGATTCTTGGTATAGAGTACACCTTGACATAAAAGCATTGTAAAATGCGCGCGCGACCATCAAATCATAATTTGTAAAGGAGCACGTGTTTGCGGAGGTTAATGCATGTTTTGCTTTGTGACACGACGAAAAACCTATACCCACTATACCCATTCTCAAATCCTACCACTTCTAACCATCTATTGCCTTTTTAGGCGATGGAAAAAATATATGAGTTCGTTACCCTGTGTTAAACTAATCAACTACCCTGGCCTCGGACAGAAGGCAGGAGCTGATAGTTTAACAACAAAGTGAACAGAAAATCTACCACGCTCTGTGGCTACACACTATTGTTATCACCGGTGCGTGGAGAATAGATAGATACTCGAAGTTCAAGTGAAAGATAGTATGATGGTAAAATCAGAATAATTGGAATCGGAATAATGAACAAAGTAAGATCGCAGAACCTTGACCCTTACGCTAAACCTACATGTTTCGGAGAGGTCTAAGTTTATAATTAAAACAAGGTAGTTAACCGTTGTTTAACTATCCTCTCTACGAACTAGTGGTTTTAACTGTCCTCTTTACGGACTAGTGGTTTAACCCGTAAATATCAAGAGATATTTGGTCCTCGTGGAAGGTTCTAGAAGAATCAGGAGAGAGCTAGGAACTAGCTCGATTCAATCTATAACAGATCCCTACGGACACAGAAAAAGATTTTATTGGTAGATAAAATCTTTACGGGGTTTTTATTATACGTCCACAATTTTGAAAAACAAGCTATGGGTCTTGTCACAAATATCTCACATATTGAAAATCAAATGTTAACACGAATTCACAGATTCATTGATTCAATTCTTCTCCATATTCTATTAAAAATAATTTACACGAATTGTTCGTTGGTCTTCAAGGAAATTTTATTTTCTCCAGTCTGTTATTTCATTTATTAAAAAACTATAGTTTTCGGATTGTCCATTTAGAAGTATTTCAATGAGCCGTTGTTGGCGTGAGCTGATGTTCATCAACTAGGATCGTGTCTATTCTTGTTAGTTAAGCTTTAGTATGACGGTTGATCCAGAAGGTAAGTCTTTCACCCAACTATTGTCAACTTAGATCTTCAAGGTCTTTGGGGTGATGTGGGCTCTATTAGTGTCTTCTAAGGACTAAGTAAGGTAAATGCAGGAGAAATGTTCAGGTCTTCATGAGAGCGGAAGTGACGTTTAGGACTTCGGTGGAGAAGAAGTAATGTGCAGGGCTTCAATAGAGCAGGAGTCACGTTTAGGACTTCAGTAGAGAAGAAGTAATGTGTAGGGCTTCAATAGCTAGCAGGAGTGACGTTTAGGACTTCAGTAGAGAAGAAGTAATGTGTAGGGCTTCAATAGCTAGCAGGAGTGACGTTTAGGACTTCAGTAGAGAAGAAGTAATGTGCAGGGCTTCAATAGAGCGGTAGTAACATGTGGGTAAGGGTCCATAGAAGAAGGGTATAATCAACATAGATTTTGTGGAATTCCCAATTATGATCTAATATGATCGACACCTCAATTATATTTTGATTTATGATTCTTACAATCGTATGTTGTTTTTGGTTTTTATTTTTCAAGAAATGAATAGACGCATTTTTGAACTGCACCAAGGTAGTAAAATTAATAGTGATATATTACAAAAGTAACAGTGTTATATCATAATATATAGAATATATGTCTCAAAGGACTAAATTATTTTGATATAGGGATATGTCACAAAGGACTAAAATACTTTGATGTAGGGATATGTCACAAAGGACTACAATACTTTGATGTAGGGATATGTCACAAAGGACTTACTCCCACCTGCTGTTGGCGGTCCACCATAGCAAGAAATATTTTTCCGCTTCTATGGTCTCAGTCCTTTCCAGTAGTTTTTTGGGGTTCCAGATCCCCAGGAGATCTTTTCTGATCTCGTTCTGGTCCGCTATGGACGCGAATGCGTGGACAGGGATGTATGGGGTTTTCCGCCACAGCATGGCGAGAGGGTGATACCCCGGTTTAAAGAAGTTTGAAGGCGGGGTTTGTGCCCAGGGGCACATGCCGGCCCATATGGCCTCGTGCTTCCGTAGCCTCGCTTGCTCAAGGGCACCTGGTTGAATCATATGATTAGTTGTTTGTTTATCAGAGATCGCTTCCATCAGTTTTGAAGCTTTCTGTGATTGAGTATGACCATGATATTTAGCTAAATCGTTCAAAGGTCTTTTCTTACCACTTTTGTTAGCTGGCAGCAAGGCCTGACTTGTCACGTTCACTGACACCAAGGTCTCTCCGTTTGCGGGGCTATCTCCGTCTGCGGGGTTATCTCCGTCTGCGGGGTTATCTCCGTCTGCGGGGCTATCAGTCTCCATTACGGTGACGCTCTCTAGTGACTCTATGAGCTCCTTCTCTGCTGCTCCTTCTGTCTCTGCTGCTCCTTCTGTTTCTGTTGCTGGTCCTGTCACTGCTGCCTCTTCTGTTGTCGCTTCCTCTTCTATCGTTGCGGCCTCTACGTCCGTTACTGCCTGGGGTCCGGGCTCTTCTTTCTCTGGAAGAATATTTTTTGTTACGAACGGGGGAAATAGTCATTTATTAGATTGACCTTGTAATATATAATTGTAATTGTAATATCCTGCTACACGCCATTTATACTTAATTAATATGGCGGTGTGAGTATGCCAGAAAGTGATTTAAACTAGTTGTATAAATATAAATTATAAAGTTTAACTGGCTAAAGTACTAAAACTAGCAGAGTATCATGATTAAAAGAAGTCTCGATAATAATGATCACAACTGATTAATCGGTTTAAAGGGTACCCGAGTGCACATGGGCACACCTAAAATTATTTCCGAGAAATAGTATCATACGACTTCGTTGCTAGTTTAGAAACTCACACATCTGCAGAATTACAGTAATCAAGTACTCACTTCCTTTTCTTGTTGTACTTTTTATTGACCGTCACGTGGTCATGACGATAATCAAACCTATCAATAGGTAGACTTCTAGTAGCCCTTGGGTTATTCCTTGCTAACCTCTCATATACAGAAGCTTCATTTGAGCTCGTAGGGTCTACTTCCGTGCTAGTTATGCCGGTCAATGGGATAGTGTTATCGGGCGAATGATGGCCTGGTTGACTCACTGCAGTACCAGGTTCTGGGGCAATATGTTGTCCCGTGCCAGTCGATATATCTATCTCATTTTGAATCTGTACGAAATGATTCAGGGTAGGAGCTTGATCTAGAACGATCACGAAGATTTTTTTCTATCTCTGGACCGAGATCTCGAATGGTCCCTGCTATTATCAGAATCAATATGACTCACTGATCTTGATCTAGATCTAGAACTGTAACGATTCATTGATCTATTTCTCGATCTATTCCTTGCTCTATGGCCTGACGGACCTGCTGATCTACTCACGTTGCTATTACGGATATTTTTAATTTATGTATCGTCCGAATTATTTTTGTCTTTCTTCAATGAAGAAAGCCTCGAGAGATTTGGCACTACTTACTGCCTTGTCATATGTTAAGTTCTTTCTGTCTCTGACAATTTCCATTTTTATGGCAATGTTTCTAAGGCCTTGTATGAAAGCTTCTAATTTATGACTTGCAAGGTCAGATGGAGAAAAATTTAGCTTCTGGGCTATGATACCAAGTCTATAATTATAATCGTCAATGGATTCATGGCTCTTTTG